TCATCTAGTGAAAAAACTGAGGGAGTCTGAAAGCAGATCAAAGGATATTATTTACACTTTGTTTTTTGTGGTTTCTTTTCTTTTGGTTTGTTTCTTCTTTACAAAATGGCTAATATGGAAATATGTTTTATATGATTACACATACATGAGCTATCTCTGATTGCTTATTGTCTTATCAAGTGGGAGCTGAGAGAGAAAGAAAATTTGCAACTCAAAAATTTTTAAACAAATGTTAAAATTTGTCTTTACATGTAATTGGATAAAAATAAAATACCATTAAAAGCAACAACAACAACAAAAAGAATACCTGGTCTAAGGAAATAGACTCTGTTAGTTATAAAAGATAAGTAGGTTTAGATATTAAACACTTTTTTTTTAGTTCAAGAACTGTAATTCTATCAGAGTAAGGACTTCAAAGTGAGGAATTTCCTTTATCAATGCACTTTGGCACCTTCTCTGTAATTGATAGTCAATGAGTTGCATGGAGCTCATTAAGTGGCTTGCCCACTGATAAGAGAGGTCTGTGACACTAGGGTGGGGGATGGTGGATATGGTCCATGACAGCAACACCAGTGGTGAGACTTGGGGACTATAGTGACAACTATAGCAGTAGTTGGGAGCTCTCATCACAGAGATGCTAAGGAGGTTGGATAACTGGTCAGCAAAAAAGATTACAGGAGACCCCTATGCTGGCACTGGGTGCTGGATAGGGTGCTGTTTGGCAACTCCATTGCCCATAAGCAGTTCTAAATTGCAATTCCAGGGTGGAGGGGAGCAATAGCACTTGCAGCTGCCTAGTTCCATGTCCAGATCAGAAAAGAGTCTTAGCACTTGTGGTTGCAGTGGAGCAAAGGCCCTTCTTAAATAAAGACGAGAACATGGACCAGCAAACCAATGACCACACCATTCCCAGGATCAAATCACCTTAGAGGTATTGAAAACTTACAGACCTCCAGAAACTAGCTATGAAAAACAATAGCATGAAAAAGACTAAAGCTTGGGATACTGCCCTCCAGGTGAGCAGAGTCCATCTTTAACATAAACATTAAAGTCAAGAAATAGTCTGGAAAATGAGCAAACAATAACAACAAAAAGAATCTGACCACAAAAATTTACTATGGTAACAGGGAAGATCAAGATATAAATTCAGAAGACAACAATGTGAAAATAGCTACAAAGTCTCAAAGAAAAATAAAAATTGAGTACAAGCCCAACAAGAATTCCTGAAAGAGCTAAAGAAAGAGCAAAATAATATTTTAAAAATCAATTAAGAATGGGAAAAGAAAAGTTGGAAAAAAAGAGTTGAGAGTAATAAAAAAATGTGAAAAGAGAATTAACAGTTTCATAAAAGAGGCACAAAAATTACTGAAGAAAATAACATCTTAAAAAACATAATTGGCCAAATGGTAAAAGAGGCACACACACACACACACACACACACAGAGAGAGAGAGAGAGAGAGAGAGAGAGACAGAGAGACAGAGAGACAGAGAGAGGGAATTGGCCAAATGGAAAAAGAAATACAACAGATTACTGAAAAAAAATATTTTTTTTAAAAAATTGGAATTTGGCAAGTGGAAGCTAATGACCCCATGAGACATTAAGAAATAATTAAACAAAATCAAAATAATGAAAAACTAGAAATAAATTTGAAATATCTCATTGGAAAAAATATCTGACCTGGAAAATAGATCAAGGAGAGATCATTTAAGAAACAGTGAACTACCTGAAAACCATGATTAAAAAAAAGATCTTAGACACCATATCTCAAGAAATTATAAAGAAAAAATTTCTCAATATCTTAGAACCAAAGGGTAAAATAGCAATTTATAGAATCTACCGATCACTGCCTGAAAGAAATTCCAAAATACAAATTCCCAGGAATATTATAGCCAAATACCAAAACTCTCAGGTCAAAGAGAAAATATTGAAAGCATCCAGAAAGAAACCATTCAAATATTGTGACACTACAGTCAAGATTACATAAGATTTATCAGCTTCCATGCTAAAGTAATGGAGAGCTTGGAATAAAAATGACAATTCCACCTAAACTAATTTATTCAGTGCCATATTAATCAAATTATAAGAAAAATGTTTTATAGACCTAGAAGAAATATTACAAAATTAATCTGGAAGAACAAAAGGTCAAGAATATGAAGGGAATGAAAAAAAATGTTAAGGAAGACAGCCTAACAGTACTAGATTTCAAACTAAATTACAAGGCGGTAATCATTCAAAACATTACAGTACTAGCTAAGAAATAAATGGGTGGATCAGTGGAATGGATTAGGTATACAATACACCATAGTAAATGCCAATAGTAACTTAGTGTTTGATAAACCTAACGATCCAAACTTTTGAGACAAATACTCACCATTTGACAGAAACTGCTAGGAAAATTACAAAGCAGTTTGACAGAAACTAAGCATACGAAATCATCTCATATGATATAACAAGATAAGATGAAAAAGGGTGCATGACTTAGGCAGAAAGAATAATATCTGGGACTTGAAGGTAACCAGGCAGTAGACATGAGGAGCAAGAGTATTTCAGGCATGAACAGTCAGTGAAAATATCTGGAGAATGAGTGTCTTATTCCAGGAACAACAAGGAGGCCAGTATCACTGGATGAAAGAGTAGGTAGGGGATACGAGAGTATAGGAGTTAAGAAGAGGGGAAAAAGAGTTCGGATAAGGTTGGTTATGAAAGTCCTTGAATACCAAAGTGAGGATTTTGTATCTGATTCTGGAGGTAATAGGGAACCAATGAAGTTTGTTGAGTTAGAGGTGATATGATCAGATCTGCACTTTAGGAAGATCACTTTGGCAGTTGAGTGTAACAGATGGACTAGAGAGAGGTTTTTTGCAAGGAGACCAACCAGAAAGCAATTGTAATAGTCTAGATGTGAAGTGATGAGGTCTTTCACCAGGTTAGTGGCAGTATCAGAAGAGATAAATGGGCATCCATCTATTTATTTGCTTATTCTTTCATTTATTTCATTCATTCATTCATTCATTCATTTGGTTGTTTTTTTCAATAGAATGTCTCCCTATCTCCATTTAGCTAGATGTGCAGTAGCCACTCACAGCCTGATTTCACTATCAATTAGGACAGGACTTTAATTTTCTATGTTTCCCCAGGCCAGGCTAGTTTGCCCCTTCTGGGACAATCTGGAGGCTCCCCATCCCCAAAGGCTCACCATATTGGTGCTGAAATTAGTATAGATATTCAGTTGGCTTTAGTCTATTCCAGCTACTAACTCCTAAGCTTAGATCATCCATGGGCCTCAGCCTCCTCAGGATCAGGGATTACAGATATGTACCACCATGCCCAGATTGGACATGTTTTTTTTTTTAATGTCCTTCCTAAAATAAGATACCCAGAGCTCAGCACAATAAGGCAAATATGTTTTGGTCAGGACATCAGCATTATCCACATTTAGCATTCTGGAAACCATTGAATCCAAATATCTCAGTTTGCCATTTAAATACCTTTATGACCTTGCTCTAACCTATATGTCTAGCCTTATTATACATTATTCCTTTTCACACACCTCTTTGGTACAACCAAACTGGTCTTTTTGCTGTTCCTCTCAGAGAATATTCTATCTACTTCCTCTGGACATGTCCCATGTCTTGCTTACACCCCATATTCACTTCTGTCTCTTGCATCTCTTTATTCCTTTGAATCTCATCTGAAGCATTGTCTCCTAAAAGTAACTTCTCCTAATCCTCCCAGCCCACCAAAATAAACTTGTATTTGTTTTAATATGTGTTCACAAATGTGTATATATGTAATTTGACTCCTCTTAAAGAATGAAAGCTACTTGAAGGCAGGAAATATTTCATTTTTGTCTCTTCAGCATCTAGCACAGTGTCTGCCACATGGTAGGTATAGATGAATTCTTGTTGATTGTTGCTATGCTGATCTCAGTGCAGTGCAGGATCAAATGAATTTCTTTTGGCTGCCAGATTATGGTTAACTCATGTTCATTTTGCAGTCCATTTAAACTTTTTTTCCCCCATGAATTGTTGTCTAGACACATTTGCCCTATCTTATTTTTAATTTCTATTGATAACTTTTGTTTTCATATCACTTTCATTTCTAAATATATCTTACTCTCCCCTACTCAGATATCCATCTTTCATTAAAAAAAGTTTTAAAAAAAATAGGAGGAGCAGATCCACAAAACTGAACATGTCAATTGAGTCTAACTGTGTATTTCATATTCCACATCCATAATCTCTCACTTCTGTTAAGAACTTAACTTTTATGTCTGCAATTAATTTTTAATCCAAATGGAGTCATATTCTTCTCTCTTAACTTTTACTTATCCTCTGGTTTGAAGCTGTCAAGATCTTTTTTTTTATTCACAATTCTGTCAATTTTTGTTAGCTATCCTTTTTTTCCCATTAGCTACAGTTTGATAAGTTTAACAACATATCAGGCTTTGTTCAAGTCATCAAAAATAGATGTTAAATGACAGACATCTGGGATACTTGACTAGATTCATACAACCATGTTGACATTTTTCCAAAATCTCTACTCTTTTGGTCCATTCCATCTACTTCTGAACCAACCTCTTTGTTCTCTCATTGGTCAACAAAGGCATCATGAGAGACTTTGTCAAAGACCTTGGTGAAATTCAGAAATGCTTCAGCTATAATATTCCCTGATCCATAATGCAGTAATCCTGTTAAGAAAGGAAATTAACTTGGCCTAGCATGACTTACTATTGATGAACTCTTATTGTTTGGGAGTGATGATTACTTTCCTTTTTTCACAAATCGCCTCTTTAATAATGTTTCACAGATAGAGAAAATGAGGTTCCAAAAAAAAAACCAACCTGCACCAGGTCCTATAGTTGGTTAGTGGCAGAGTTGAGATGCAAACCCAAATCATCTGTTGCCATCTCAGGATCCTTTCTGCTATACTGCATATCCCTCTATGCACTGACATTAGTCGAAATTAAAACAAGACTCAGGCTTCTGTGGAATCTACTTTATTCATATAGAATATGTCAGAGGGCATAGATGTAAATTGGTTTAGGCTGAAACCTTTCTCCAGGCCTGAGGTCAGTAAAAGATGTGTATCTATAGTATGATCCCTCACAGAAAAACAAGACAGAAGAGGAATAAGGAAAGAGATCAGGACAATGGAGGAGTAGAGACTGGAGGGTGGTCCGCACACAACACTAGTCAAGCTTCAGCATTTTCCCTGATGCTTTAATTTCACCTTTCCACCACTTTCCCTGTGAAAGAGACACATACAAATATGATAGTTAAAGAAGAGCAGAGCTGGAAGTGACCTCAAAGCTCATCTAGTTGAACTGTCTTATTTCATAGATGAGAAACAGTGGTCCTAAGGAGTGAAGGAGTTTGTCCAAAATCACACAGTAAGTAACAGTCAATTTCAGATCTAAAAGAGCCTAGGTGTTCTAAGTTCCCATCAGTTTTTTTTTCTCTCAAAAGAACATAAGCATTTATCCCTTGGTAGCAGCAGCAGGGTAAGAAGCTGTTGAAATAACCACTAGTCTATGTGGTTGGGTCATCTGAATCTAGCAATACCCAAGCCTAGAGCTCATTGTCTGACATAAGGAGGAAGTATGACATTTTAGAAGGAAAAATTCATTTGGATTAAGGACACCTGGTGTGAATTCTGGACTCGTCCACTTGTTAACTGTGTGATCTTGGTTCAGTCCCTTATCTTCCCTATGGTCTCACTTTCCTCACATATAAAATGAGAACATGGAAGCAGATCATCTTTGAGATTCTCTCTAGCTCTAATATTCTTCAATAGCATGAGTTTCTGTGGTCTTGGTATTTTGGCAGATACAAATATATATTCTACTTCTAATGGGTAGAATTATAATAAGGCTGACTCTTTAGGAGTCTTTGAACAAGTTTTATGTAAAGCTTGGGATTTTCTGAGTGGATGGGATCTTAGAACATGGAACATGGAGTATGGGAGCTGGGAGGGACCTTAGAAGACAGAACACGGAATGTGAGACTTGAAGGAAACTTTGAGTTATCTAGTCCAACCTCCCATTTTACTCATGGGGAAATAGAGATCAATTACTTACGCCACCGCTTTACAGAAGGAGCACTTGTTGCCATAAGTCTGGCCATCAGAGCCACAATGAGGGTTAGATTCTCTGGTGCAATATACCTTGGGGTCTCGAAATTCACCGCAGTCCACCTAGCATAGTACAATAGAAGAATGTTTTACAGAATCTCAGAAATGACCACATTCACAAAGTCAGTATATTTTCCATGAAGCTAAAATCAACCCCTTTATGTACCAGTTTTATGATTAAGCCATTTAAGAAAGAGAGATTTTTCACCTGCATTACCTTTTCTTCTACCATTGTAAATAGAGAGTTGACTATAATTTAGTCTTCTTATCAACAATGATGGGTGATTATGATAAGCATCAAATTTGGAACATTGCTGTCATAAAGAAATATGGTGGGGGTGGAGGGGGAAGGATGCAATCTTTCCCCTGTACTGAATGGCCCCAGAGTGTTACTGAGGAACTGGCAGGTGGCAAACCTACCACCAATATGATATTCCTTGGTAAGCCCCTTAAGATGATGCTATATGATAGTTCATGGATAAAGAAACAATCATATTTAGGCACTTAGATTCGTTGACTACTATTGGAAAGAACATTATAGAACATATAATGCAAGCTTTAATTTTACAGATAGAGAAACTGAGGCCCAGAAGGAACAGTGATTTCCCCAACACCACAGAGAAAGATAAAGGTAGAATAGGAAATAGAATCCAGATGTCCTGATGTCTAGCCCAATGTTCTTGTCTTTATAGGAGAGTAAAGCCATCTCTCTGCCTTGCTATCTATACTCTGGCCATAATCCTATCTCTCTCCCACTGGAGCTGTAGAGTCTAACCCCTGGGACACTGGGCTCTGACATGAGTGTTTACATTACCATTCCTGGAATCAGGCCACCATGTCACTCCTTGACCATATCCTTAGCCTGCAACCACATATATAATTCCCCACTCTCACCCTTTCAGCTGTCCTTCTTCTGCTTTTTTTTCAGCTATTACCATGGAAACTCCTTGAAGGCAAGGCCCACCTTGCTTGCTAATATTTACAAACTCAGAGCTTATAAAAATGTTTGGCACATAGTAAGTGCTTAATAAATGTTCTATTTCTCTATGTAAATTCCCAAGTTAAAGCAATTTGGAATTGTTCAAACATGTCACTAAACTGTCCATACCCTTTGACCAAACTATGCCACTACTAGGGGACATATGAAGAAAGGTGGAATCTGCATCCAGAGAAAGAACTGGTAAATAAAAGTATGTACAGAATAATTTTACATGTGTGTGCATGTGTATGTGGATAAGTATGTCTAATGGTAGCCATCTCTAAGGTGGAGGAGGAAAGAAAAAAAGGAGAAAAACAGAGAAAAAGAAAAAAAAGAAATTTATTATATATAAATGTATTATATTTGTAAATGAAATAGCAAGTTATACATAATAGATTTTTAGTTTCCTGTGGAATCTTTTTTATCATACTATGTTATGGAAGTGCTTATTTTATCACATAAATTAAAAATAAAATAAATTTTTAAAAAGTAAAAAAAAAGAAAAAGCATCCATGTGTATAAAATATTTATAACAACTATTTTCATATAACTTTTTTCATAAAATGGGGTGTCTAATTATTGGGGAACAAACTATAGTATGTGACATAATGGAATATTATTGCACCATCAGAAAGGACAAAAGGGGTAGTTTCAGAAGATGCTGGGAAAGACTCAAAGAACTGATGAAGAATGAAATGAGTAGAACTAGGAGAACAATTTATACAAGCAGCCATTTTAAAACATGTAGGTTTTTTTTCTTGGAAAACTTAATATTTACCCATACTAATTTCTTTAGTAATATGGGACTTTGCACAGCCCATAAAAAGCAAAGTATTTATGAGATTTATTATTATTGTTAATTATAATACTACATTTATATGGTATCATAAAGTACTTTCTTCACAACCATCCTTTGATGTAGGTAATGCAAGTCTTATTATTCCCATAAAATGTGATGAAGAAGCTAAGGCTCACAAAATTTAAGTGACTTTGCCAAAGGTCACATGCGGCATGTGTAGAGATGAGACATAAATCCAAGTCATCTTCAGATTCTAATATCACTGGTCTTTCTACTACACTTTTCCCTTTCATCTTATAGAAGGGGGAAAAAGCCCTGAGAGAGGCAGTGATTTGTCCCAAATCCCACAGGTTATATGAAAGAGCTGAAATTGTTGCTCCAAATCAAGATCCCTTTTCAGTAACATGGGATGCAAACTGCCAATCTCAATCCCTTTTTGTCCCACCAGAGATAAGGGAGCAGCTTGTGCTACCAACCTGCCCCTCCTTCTCACACACACACACACACACACACACACACACACACACACACACACACACACACACACACACCCCTACATACACAATAGTGGCAGCAGATTAAGCTGATGAAAATCAGGTTCTTCAAAGAGGTGGGTTTAATTCCTAATTAGTGTGTTGTATAGTCCAACATGTACAGTTTATGTGGGTGCTGTTAGTCTCTCCTACTGCCTACCAAGGGGTATTTTGTCCAGGACCGACATTAAAATTGGGCTCAGAATTCATTGAAAAGGTTGGCTTGACCAAATGGATATAGTTAGTAATAAAAAAAGAAAGAAAACTAAAAGTCCATTACATGACAGAGATAAATACTTGACCTGATAACCTTGGGGTCCAGGCTCTTTTTTTCCTTTGGCAAAGGAGATAAGGAAGAGGCACTAGTGGCCTTGTCTTAATTCAGTCCCTTACCACCTAGCCTACAGACAAGGACCTTTGCTAGAGACCTAGAATTCTCCCACAGTTCCCTAGGGAAGGATGCAGGATGAGGCATTTGTGCTACCGAGGAAAGCAAAGGGAGGAAAGAGGGCTGGGGCTCGGGAGTTACCCAAGAGATTTCACTTCATCACAGATCAATTTCCCTGGTGATTGGAGTTAAGAAAAGGTCCTCCTCTCTGAGCCTCTGTGATGGGCAATACATAACTGTCACCCTCAGGGCAGCCAGGGTTTTTGGTCTGTTTGCACTAAAACTGTCCCAAGCAGGAAACCACTAACCATGGTTTTGTGGGCCTTAGAGATAGAATATAGAAAATAGAATACTAGACCTAAAAGAGAAAGTAGAACTCAGAATACCTGAGCCTGGGGGAATCTGAGAGGTCACCTAACCCAGGCTTTCTATTTTACAGATGAGGAATTTCAAGACTTGAAATGGAAAATATCTTTCCTAGTGTCATAGTGGTAAAGATTTGAACCCATGTCCTTTGTCTCCTAATCTAATACTTTTCCCATTATCAATGAAGATGATACCAAAATCTTGCTCTTTACAAGATCTTTATAAGTTGTGAACATTTTTTAACTCAGAATCTGAGCTCCCTTTTCCAGGGTGTGCCATTTGAGGTTTGCTTGTCATCGAACTTCACAGGAAAAATAGGCTCCATGCTGATCCCATCTAAGCATAATATCACAATAGTTCCCATTTCATTATCGTGCTACAGTTTGCAAAATACTTTCCTTACAACATAAGGAGTGATTATTAGGACATAAGGAGTGATATATGACTATCCTATTTTGTAGAGGAGAAAACTGAAACTCAGAAAGGAGAAAAGCTGGTTGGAAAAGTGGGGGATGTGTTCCTGCCTTCATAATTTCCTAAAACTAGCAATAGTCACTTTCTTCCCCTCCTCCCAAGCCAAAGCCAGTGAGATTTTCTGAGACCTCTATAGACAGGACTGCCCACAGGGATCCCCTTCTGTCTGAATTTGACAGCACTATCTGATCCAACCCTTTCCTTATTTAGATAAGAAAACTGAGAGAGAGACAGAGACAGAGAGAGAGATACAAAGAGACAGAGACAGAGAGAGACAGTAATACAGGGACAGAGAGACAGAGACAGAGACAGAGAGAAGAGAGAGACTTCTTCAAGGTCACATAGCTAGTTACAAGGAGATCTGAACCTTGAAACCAGGTCCACCAGCTCTAAAACCAATACTTTTGAGGATCTGTTCAGACAATGAAGATAAGGAACTAACCCACTGGTCACTACTCTTTACTTACCAACCCATCCTGCCTCCCCATACACATTTTTTTTTCTGAAGGTTGATGGAATAAATGGGTCCTGGAATTGTGTATCGATGCAAAACCTGGAGTATAGGCTCCCCTGACCCTTCTGGCATCGAGTCTCTGGGGCCATTCTTGCTCCCTCTTCCCCATGAGAGAAGTGAGCATGTGAATCAGGTGGAAGGAGGGAATAGGATGCAATATCAACTTCTAGGAGCTGAGGATGACCAGGGCCTCATACTTCTCTCCAACCTTGGCCCCCAACTTCAACTCTCATAAATAGCCCTCCCCATCTAACCTTGTTTTTAACCACCAAACACTGATAATTTAGCACCAGTCCCTATTCTTCCTCTATAATTTAATAAATTCTGGTATCCAAAATCATCCCCCATCTGACCATGGCCCCTAACCTCTTTCCAATCAAAATCTAGTCCCCATATCTGCCTATCCAGCCATGGTTCTCAACATTCTCACCTAATCTTGGTCCCAAATCCCACCATTCTTCCGTTTCATTCCTGGTCCACGGAAACCCTTCATTCAAACCCTGGTCCATAATTTTTTCCATGTATTACTGGTTCCCAGCTCCTCTCCTATTCAGTTCTGACCTGATTATCACCATTCTAACTTTGTCCCTAGGTTCCTTCTATCCAACCATGGTTCCCAAAATACACTATCCAAGCTTGCTCTTCCTTCTACCCCATCCTACCCTGGTCCCAAGGCAGCTAGGTGGCACAGTGGATAGAGTGTTAGGCCTGGAGTCAGAAAGACTCATCTTCCTGAGTTCAAATCTGGCCTCAGACACTTACTAGCTATGTGACCCTGGGCAAGTCACTAAACCTTGTTTGCCTCAATTTCCTCATCCACAAAATGAGCTGGAGAAGGAAATGGCAAACTACTCCAGTATCTTTGCCAAGAAAACCCTAAATGGGGTCACAAAGTCAGACATGACTGAAAAAATGACATCCTGGTCCCCACATGCCTCATCCAGTCTTGATTTCTGAACCCTAATTCTCAGTGCTCCCATCCCCATCTAACCCTGGTCATTAATCTCAAA